ATTACAAAGTAGCGAAGCAGAATTATGGGAAACTAGCACCACTGACCGCTCTCCGATTATTAGTCGTGCTACTACCTGTTTTATTTCCGTAAAGTGAACCAATCAGCTATATAATGCTATTTCCGGATTAGGGCAAGCTAACTAAATCCACGCGTACGAACAGCGCATAATAATAATATGTAAAAACATGCACACAAACCAGACTACAAAACTAAATAATTCATTCATGGCAAGTACAGTGCGCAAATAAACACACTAAAAACAGATGCAGAAAATAGACCGCGTACAAGCAGCAGAAACTGGATTAAATAAGCTCGAAGAAAGGCTGTAAGTATTCGCAAGAATTCGCCAAGACGGCGCAGTCTCCGTTGACTCGACTCATTCGACACGGAAGACCTCGCTGATGCCCAGCACTGCCAATTTGCTCAGTTCGTCAACGTCCGCCGTCCACAAGTCCTCGGAATACCACCATCCTGGTCTTCCGTCGCTAAAAAAGGGACTAAACCTGTCGATTTTAAAAGCCATTAGCAAAAAGCTTTGCGCAGCGGAATAAAATGAACTGCGCGGACACTTACACGTTGAGATATTCCCGAATCCCTTCCCACTGATCGGGATAGACAAGATTCCGCACCCAACGCTCGTGGATGTGCGCCACTTTGGCGTAAACGTCATCGCTGACTGGTGGGCAGGCGACGTTGACGGTCCACATGAAGCGGCTGACCAAGGAGTCGTCGTCGTGCGCGGTGCAGTCGAATTCCGCGTGATCCAGCGTAATCTGCATCCGGTCGATGGCCAGCGGGGATTCCAAAGTCTTTAACGGGAGCATGAACTGCTTCTCCTCGAATGGCAGTGCCGTGGAGGGAAATCCGTAAAGCATCTTGTACATGACGCTTTCGAAAAGATTGCGTAGCTTCCAGTTGCGGACGATGATGCGCTGACAGTACGGGTGGAACGGGATGACTTCCATGGCGAAGAAATGCCATGGGCTGCCACCGCCGAAGTGCAGGTCGTAATCGCGCAGGATGAGCAGCGGTAGGCGGGGCATCAGGGTCTCGAAAAATCCGTACCACACGGAAGACTGGTTGCAGTTGTTGCGCGGGCCGATGATCGTGAGGCTTTTCGTGTTGGAGGTGATGGAGCGGCTTAGAAGCAGCAACGCGGCGTGGTCACTTTTGGCCCGGCAGTGTGCTGCTCCCGTGTGACAGGAGTGGCAATGAAAGATGATGTGCTCCGTGTTGTTGGGATCGTTGAGGATCTGCTGCCACAAAACGCACACCCTGCAAAGGAGCGTCAAAATGCTCAAAGGTCATCCGCTCTTTTTTACCGGCGTCAATGCTCATAGCCGCTTACCTTTTCGCGGTTTCTTGCGTCTGGAGATCCAGCAGAAGGAGGACTGTATTCCACAGCGAGGGTGGCAGATAACAGAAGGCGACGCTTCGCAGCTCGGTCGACGTTAGAACGGCTTATGGAAAACACAAGTACAGTGTACTGAAGCGGCAATTAATTAAACAGTTATTCCCCTTACCCTGTTCTTCGATCTCACAAATGCTTCTTTTTCTTCCACCCGGACTCCATCCCTCCATGAACGCTGGACTGACCAGTTGCGTGGCGAGGCTGATCTGCTCGGCGCGGTGCTGTTGCACCACCTGCAGAAGCGTGGCGGTCGTCCACTCCGCCGACATGATCTCTGTCGGGGCGCTCAACACGATGAAAGTGCAGCTGTCCGTTCCGATGCGCAGGTGGAAGCGGCAGCTATCGCTCAGTTCCTTTAGCTGGGCGTGGCCTTTCATTGCCCTACGGAGCCGCTGGACGAGACGGTCTCGATCAGCGGCTGTTTGGAGGACAGACGCCGCGCCGGGAAAAGGAATAACGTGCTTGGCATAATGGAAGCCGTTGGTGGCGATGGCGCCGGTTGTTTGGGCGGACGGTAAATCGGGGACGACCTGACACCGATCGACCACTTCGAAGCCCTTGCCAAAGTCCGAAAACTCGCTATCCGTCGTGGAAGGCGGCGTTCTGACAAAGAACATCCTCGTGTGACAAAGGTCCGCCCAGACACTGCCCGTTATAATCCCCGCTCGGAAGCGGAAGGGCCCCTGGTCGCCATCCCGCAGCGCCACCTGCACTGGCGCCTTATCATACCAGGTGCGACCTGAAGCCACACTGCCGGCAAACAGCGCCAGCCACACGCGACTGGCCTCTGTCCAGCTCGCATCCATCCGTTGCGAGTCGAAATCAATGAGAATATAATCACCGCCGTCGGAGATGTCCTGGATGTATCCCAGCCAATAGGCATCGAGGTCGCTGCCACCCCGCACCACCACCGTGTTCTGGTAGCCAAAGGAGCGCCCATAGGCCTCCACCTTCATCCGCCGGAATGGTGGCAACGCTGCTGGTAAAGACATTCGTTCCTGTTCACGTTGTAATTGTCGCACCCTGCACTGCAGTGGACCGATTTTTATGCCGAAATAATGCGCTGGCTAGATGTGCAGTTGTATAGAATAACTAATTTGGTAGCAAGATGAGGCTACTGGCCAGGAGCTGGTGCGTTGGTCACGGTTGGTGTGTCAGAACTCAGAAGTGGCAGGGAACGAGGGCAAAAGAGTTTGTTTAAGCGTACGTAAAGGGTTCGGTTTGAATGTAATATAAAGATCATTCCCATAACTAAACAAGGTACTGCATTTATACCGTTCTAATTTGAAGGTTAGTGTTCTTCAATATTCTATCGGCTTTGATTCAGTCGTAGTCCAGCTGAATAGAGCGCTCCCTGTCTGTCTGTTTAATTTGGCCGCGGTGCAGTGCCATGTGGGTCAATCAGGAAGCATCAGTGTCGCTGGCTACTCTGACCAGAGGCACTGAATGACTGCTTTTGGCGCAGCTTAGAATTGAAGCGGGCGCCGTTGCTGCACGACTGGCGGAGGAGGTGGATGTTTCACTGTCCAAATATTCAGCCTGCGCATAGTGTGCACAGGCTGAATATGAACTACAGCAAGCACACATGTGCTGCATGTTCACATGTTCTTGAGGAATAGTGTAAAACTACATAGACTACCAATCAGCCAGTCTGCTCTCGCTTTTCGTGTTACTCTTTTAACCTGTAGTCAGCCAAAAGCCCATTTATTTAACAGTCGAAGAGTTATTCAGTATAACAGAGAAACTTGGAACTTGGACAATATCAAACACTTGGCATGAATGATTTGAGAATTACAATGTGACCGTAAGTGAAAAGGGAAACACCAGCAAATGTTAACAAGTAAAGTCCGATGGCGCAGTTTAACCCAATTGAAATAAGCGACGTAAATAGAAATCAATAGGATGAGCGAAAGCCACGCCCAGTCCGTAGTCTTTTCCAGTAAAGTTAAGCCAAAGCAGTCCCGCCAAAAATGCTCTATTAGGAAACAGAATATCGTAAATACAAAACCATGCGGCTTGGGACAAGTTAACTGCAATGGCGTATTCAATGCTACGAGGAGGCTCGTGGTTATGTACCCTGTGGACTGGAGGAGGCCCAAGAGGGTGAAGTGCACAACATGAAAGACCGTTTTGAATAGCTGATTATCGCTCAGTGTATTAGCATCTAGACGATGCGCATCACCAAGAGGTTGTATGCCAAAAACATCGGTCGCAAATTGTGTCCTTTCCCTCAAAGTTGTCCCGTATCTAATGCGCTTTCGTTTATTGTGTCGTGCTCAGAGGGTTCCGCTGCGCCCACCGGCTGCCTTGGTACCTATCGCTTCGATCAGAAGCAGGTTACTGTAACAGGCAAGCGCTTCGGCGTCATGTCCAGACCTGTATTTGGATAAATAAAGGAACCAGTGGCACGCAGTATGCGGGCAAAGATAGATAGCCAGGAAAGCAACGATAATACGTAACAGTCTTTATTGTGACCTTCCTGTCTGTAGTAATTGTCCAGCTGTCGTGGCCGAAAGGCTGATTTCCTATTTCTCGATACTTTGGGAAACATTTGCGCAGACAGACTACTGTGGATACAGATACATCTACAGAAGAACCCCCCAAGTTTACACTTACAGTTCGTTTGCGCCCGGAATTACGCTTTATTTAATTTATCGAAGTTCAAAAGATAACGTTTACTGCCGTTGGGCAATCACAAATAATGAACCAATCACAATATCGCTGCTGACAGCGTCCAGACGCTCCACGCCAAAGAAACCACAGAATCCCATGTGTCAGTCGCAGAAGAAATAGCGGACGACTCCGCGGTGCTGGTGCCCGTGTGGCCGCTGTGTCATTCCGGCAGTCTTCGACTGTCGGGATGAATTCCGCATTCGTAGGTCGTCGCGGGGCTGGTGATGTTGACCGACGCGGTGCTAGGCGACGCGGGCGTCCACACGCGAACCAGCTGCGGGGCACTGGCATTAATCGGTTTGTTCAACAGATCCTTGATCAGCAGGTCCCTGTCCGTATCCGGCCCCGAGGGCGGCGGCACGACGCCCACGCTCACCAGGTCCACATTGCACAAACTGCGCCTGCACAGACAGTTAATCGCGTACAGATCCACCACCGGCGCCGAGGCATTGGGCCGCGGTCGGTAGTTGACCTGGCTGCAGACGAACGACTGTTCGCCGAAACCAGCCGACCAGTAAAAATGTTTTTACTAATAAAGGGTTTGCGTGATAAATAAAATGTCTCTATCGTCGAAACGGCCTTGCGACGAAATGTCTCGCTGCGTGATGCCCTGTCAGCTCAAATTCTCCGCGATCTCGCTTTGAGATGAACTTTTCTGCGACCAAAGGTCCAGCGATTGTTGTTCACAGTGAAACGTGGCTGCTGATCAATTTGAAGTTGGCTGTTTTCGTCAACGTCGTTTGACAGAAATTGCATTATCTGTATAAAAGCAAAAAGCTAAAAAAGAAAACCAAAAGGCGGGAACGAGAACATTACACGATACTCCGAGTAGCAAGCGATGCAATGATGCAAACCTTAAAGAAAACCATACAAACCTTGTAATCCATGCATAAGATTCAAGAAGATCACGTGATATGTTTTCACAGATATGGAGACATGGGGTTACACTCATAGTAGCAGTTTAACATTGTTCGTGCTAGAAGTATTCCGCGCTAAGATTCAGTTTTTAAATACGGCAGAAAATTTTATCCACAGCAGAGCGTGATGGTCGACAAAGGACGTGCTGCTGGTCTCACACAGCGAACACTTCGTTGATGCCGTAGATGGCCAGTTTGCTCAGCGTGGAAACACCAACGACCCGTACTTGCACTCTGTTGGCACCCAGATGGCCGGGTGCTTCAGCCGGTGCTCCTTCTGTCCCGCCAAACTCTTCGGCTGGCAAATAATCTGGCCTTTGAAGACGATCAGCGGAAGCCGGATATCCATGAATTCCAGCAGTTGTCCTATAAACATCCCATACGCCGGAAGGAAGGCGCCGGAGAAGGTGAGGCTGATTGTGGAGGAATTAATTGAGCGGTTGAGCAGCACTGCCAGTTTGAAGCAGTTGCTGATGTCCGCCTGCAGCCGCCAGCAGGCGTCCACGTGGATGCTGATGTGGTCCGTCATGCGCGGACTGCTCAGCAGCAACTGCCACAGAGCGCACACCCTGCGCAACAACGACACCGTTCAGAGCTGCCACATTTATGCAAATGCCCGGGTGCGCGCCAGGACACAGTGCTCTACCGATTTGGGTGCTTAAATTTAAATGTTAAAATTGATCCTTTTAAGTAGTGTGAATGGGCACAGGCTTATATGAAATGTGCACTCTCTGGTGTCGCATAAAAGTTGATCCAAGCAGTCTCCTACAATTAACAGCTGAACAGAGTTGACCATAACCAGCGCTTACCGTTTGGCCTGCATCTGTGATTGCGGGTCCAGATTGGCCAACACTTCGCTCAAGAGCCATGGCGTCAGGTGAGCGATACGGGTGCCCGGCTCAGGCTGCAGGGCCTCACTTTCCAAATCTGCGCAAGGAAAACATGACGAATACTCGCACAAACAACTAACTTGCTAAATTCAAAGTGCGCTACGAGCGCTTAAGCTGAAGTTATCGACTTCTAAGATCGTTTAATGCAAAAACACTTTCCGTATTCGGCAATCTAAATTCCGAAATTAATTCCGAAATTAACAGGTTAAAAAACGACGTGCTCATCGCTTTATCTGGTTGCTAGGCGTTAAAGCAGTCCTGCTCTGAGATGCAACTATCACACCCGCGCTACCGAAACGACTGGAACTGTGTTCCAAATGTCAGCACTACTGGGTAATTATGGTGTGAGTGCAATTGCACTCGGTCTTCGCAACTGAAAGAATATTTCCATCTCGAGAGAAGAGTAATAATCCTCCTGGAAAGTTTACTATGGCTTTCCACTTTACTAAGGTTACGATGCACGGCCCGGGCCAGCTAACTTATCTGACCCGTTTCAAAGAGGGAGGTCTCACCTGCACGAAATCGAGGCAACACGTTGGCCGGTAGACTGGCCCGGTCAGCCAGATGGGTGTCCAGCACCTGCGACAGCGCCGTCGTCGTGATCTGCGCCGTGCCCGCCTTGGCGATATTGATGGTGATCAACAGGCAGCCATCTCGCTCGATGCGCAGATGAAAACGAGAGCAGTCCCACAGACCTACCAGCTCCAAATCGCGCGAAAAGGCGTCGCGCACGTGCTTTATGAGGCGGAATTTGTCGGCGGCATCGCTCAGGATGCTCTGCGCCCCGGCACAGACAACGAAGTGCTTCGTGTACAGCGCACCGCTGTGGCGCTGTAGCAAAGACGGATAACGCGGCGGCAGATGCGCGAGCACTTGCCCGAGATCCACCAGTTCGGCGGGGGCGGGGACTGTCCCGTTGGCGGTGAGCGTAACGGATTTAATGTAGAACATTTGAGGTTTGCTAACCATAAGGATGCCCAGGATGACGGCGGCGCGGAAACGCAACGGGCCGTCGTCTTCGTCGCGCAACGCCACGAATGCTGGGGCGTTCTTGTAGCTGGGTTGCCCAGGTTCGTTAAAGAAGAACGGCAGCAACCACACGCTGCCCAAGTGGAACCAGCGCGGTGTGACCTTTTTGGAGTCAAAGTGGATAAGGGCACGGTCTCCGTCCATATCCTGAATATATCCGAGCAACCAAGAGTCATCGGGATTACGGACAACGACCGTATTCTGGTAGCTCATCTGGTTGACATCCGCCAGCAGCGGCCGATATTGCGGCATCAATCTCCATGGCGAATTCATATCTATCAAAGTGTTCAGAAGCCATTTATTTATTGATGCAAAATTACAAATGCTGCTGCTGCAGCGGCCTGAAGCAGCAGTATGTTTACCTATCAAAGTAACAACATTTCCGCGGAACTGCGCTACTTATTACCGTCAACAACGCATTTACAATTAACGTAAGTAATTGTGAACAATAACATCAACGCAATGATTTTAGTCTGTCTTTTCAAATGTAGATCGCTGGTGTCAGATATGACACAGAAGCAGATGGAAAAATGGGGCAAATAGCCTTTATTGTGATAACAATAAAGCAACAACACAAAACCAACAGAAAACCCGATAGGGAAAAGCTGTGGAAAAAAAAGTGGCTGCAAGCGCGCTCGTCAGAATCGTGATAATGATTCCGCGTGCTGCGGGTATGCAACAGCTGATGCTGCAAAGCATGGAATCGCCCGTAGGCGCAGGGCTCCACCCCCAAGAGTGCAGGGAAATGCGCTGATTGGTCAGCGTAGACAAAGTATACGCTGAGTAAGCAGCGTAATAGCGCGGCACAAATGGAGTAGCCATGTGCGGGCGGGCGACAGAGCAAAGCCACGAGAGGTGTCTACCGCCTCGAGTGAGCGGTCTCTGACATGCCTCTGGGCGGGAGTGGGAGCTCCTGCGAGCACCTTCCGACTCTGCCCCTGGCCAACCCGGTAGGGTGCCAGGATCCGATACCCGGTAGGGCCGGATGCCACTTTGTCTCGCTTCCTCCAGACCCGCGGTGCAGTGCACCGAACGGCCGAAATCTGGAGTGCACTCTGGTTGCAGGGGGTTCCAGTGGGTTTTGAAGGCTTGGTTGGTCGAACAAGTAAAAAAATAAAGTTTATAAGGCTCGTAGGTTAAACATCGAAATAAAAAGATCACAATTCCGGTGAGAATTAAAGAAAGTAAGATCATAGTTAGAGATCCCAAAGCCAATTCCTTTGGTTAAATGGCTAAATAAAAACATCATCTTTGGTTATTAAAGTCTAGAAAAACCAGGTTTGGTTAAAAAACTAGACGAAACAAAAGGCTTATTCCGACTAGGTATACCACAGGGCCGCTTTTGTCCACAGGGGTCCTAGTCAACGGTCCGCTTTATCCGGTAGGATATGTCTGGTCCTGTGAATCCGGGGCGACGGTTCCCAGAGATGTCCACAGGGGTCCAGTGAAGTAATTCCAGCGGAGTTGTATGAGGAAGGCACGGTTGCATGCGCAAGGACAAGTTGTCCCCTTCCTGATTATGGTGGACCAAGCCCGGTTGGGCGGTCCATGGTGGGCCAGAGTGATGTCTCTGGACAGGAGAGGTGCTCCTGTAGTGAAATGGACCAAACCCGTTAGGGTGGTCATAAAGGCTTTTATATGATGCCTCTGAGCGGGAGGGGTGCTCCTGCTATCCAAAATGGTGTGCTTGGACCGATTCCGTTTGGATGGCCCCTATGGGTCTCTAACTTGGACCGATTTTGGCCTTGCATGCCGGTTTGGTCATGCGCCTAGGTCCAAAAATCTTCTAAGTCCAGGAGGGCCAGCATGGAAAAATTTCTAAGTCCGAGGACCAAGTGGTGTAATGGGCCAAACCCGTTGGGGCGGTCCAAACTCGGTCTCTGACATGCTCTGGACCGGGATACAGGGTTCTGGAATGGTTTGGCCTTGCTTGCAGCCTTTGGAGGGGAGTGGGTCCTGCATAACCGGTTTTGGCTCTCCGTTGTGGACTTAGTCGCTTTTTGATGTGCCACGTCATTGGACGGGCCAAAAGACTTAGTCGATTTTCCAGTGGCCACGTCGTTGGACGGGCCAAAGGGCTTAGAAAATTTTCGGTGGGCCACGTCGTTGGACGGGCCAAAAGACTTAGTCGATTTTTCGACTGTCCGCGGTTGATGGCGGGCCAAAAGGACTTAGTCGTTTTTTCGACGGTCCAAGGTGTATGGCGGGCCAAAAGGACTTAGTCGTTTTTTCGACGGTCCAAGGTGTATGGCGGGCCAAAAGGACTTAGTCGTTTTTTCGACGGTCCAAGGTGTATGGCGGGCCAAAAGGACTTAGTCGTTTTTTTTTTTTGACTGTCCACGGTTGATGGCGGGCCAAATGGACTTAGTCGTTTTTTCGACGGTCCAAGGTGTATGGCGGGCCAAAAGGACTTAGTCGTTTTTTCGACGGTCCAAAGTTGATGGCGGGCCAAAGTTGGTCCGTCTCACTGGCCGTGGGCCATGAGTTGGCTACCATGTCCGATGAGTCAGGTAGGTTTCCCTGAGACCGTGGCCATAACAAAATTAAGTGGCGTCTGACGAAAACATCAGGTTGGCCGGGCCAAACTCCAAAAAATTAAGTTGTGGGCGCCGGTAGGCGTTTTCCACAAAGGAGTCGGTCTGCTGACTAGAAGCATCCTCGTTTGGCCTCGGGGCGGTGCATCTTTTAGATGGGCCTCTGGGCGGTCCGTGGTGAGGATGTTGGACATGGCATGCAAAATGGGTATACCACAACTTCTATGTGGCTCCCGAACTCACTTGTCCCAGTTGCCTGGTATGACAACTAGACTCGTGAGCCATCTATGGTCGGTTAGACGCATAGTGGGCCTGGTCCAACTTCTATGGGCCAGGACTTGGCCTTGGCTTGTCGCAACTTGTATGCGAGCCAGGCTGATCCACGGCTTGTCGCGACTTCTATGCGGGCCGTCGCCACATTCTGGGCGCTGGATCCTTTCCGTGCCGGTGAACTTAGGCGTTGTGCCAAGTTCGGTCCGGTGGACTCCGTCGGATGGTCTGGGATGGCCGAGCCAAATTCATGGTCCCAGCCGCTAAGCCAGAGCCTATCCGGGGAATCCGGTTAAGATCCAGGGATTTAGGTCCGGTGAGGTAGACGGTGCATGGCCGTAAGCCACGTTTGTTGGGCGAGGGTAACAACCGTTAGATTGCACCCATTATGGTGGTCAAGTTCCGATTCAGCATTATGGTCCCACTTCTAAGTAACCGGGGTTTTCACTGGAACATTCTGTCCAGTGCGCTTGTCTCAGCCACTTCTAGGTGAGACATGTCTTCGGGGCTAAGCTGGATGAGCCGTTGGCTCAATCCAGGCGGCGCAGCGTCGTAGCTGCTTCTGACATCAGGGCCAAGAATCGTCCGAGGCATTCTAGCAATTCACGCCCAGTTGTTTCCAACTCGTCCGCTAAAGTACGCGGTTCGCGATGGTCGTGTCGCTGGGCTTGTGTCCAGTTCTGGACACCGACATCGGTTCTATCGTGGATAGACCGTGGGTGTTGAGCGTTTACTGAGCGCTGCTCGTGACGATTCCAGCGTTGGCCATTATTTGGGCGGTGAGTGGCGCGGTTTGCTTTCCCAGGTCGCAGGGAGTGTACTGGTAAAGCTGACGGCTGAGCCGCCACGGTAGTGGTTGTTCTCAGTGTGCCGTGATGTTGGGACAGCACCGTGGGTGCGGGTTCCCGAAGTCCGTGCTGGGCCAGGTAAGGCTGTGACTGACCGTTTTGCTGAGCTGTCCCGGTAGAGACAGCCGCTGATGGGATGTATGGCTGTGTTGCCGACGCAAACAGAATTCCTCCCAGGAAAGCCTCCCGTAGAAAGGCAAGACGGTCCGTCGTTTTGCCCAGATCGTTGTCTTCGTTTTGGCAGATGGTTTCGACCACCTGTTTGTACACGGCCGGATTGCCTCGTTTGATTTCGTTGACCAAAGCTATGCCGATGGCGTACTCGTCACCGTCGTGTGGCACTGCTTCAGCAAAGAAACATGAATAGCACGGAAGCCGCCTTTCTTGATACGGGCTGTTGCTGA